GTAGCTGGTACCCGATTTTCCGTCTGGTACCAGAGAAGCCCCTGTAGGGTGGTCCAGTGTTTCCACTAACACTAGAAAACTTCCCAGGACCTTTTCCTGGGCCAGGAGCTCTTGCTGAATTTATCTAGCAAGACAGCTCAGTGCTGAAAAGTGACCTCACTTAAAAGCATTAACTCTTATTAGTGAAAAGTCACAAAAGTTTTTCCAGTGGGATGATGTGTCCTGCATTCCTGAGACCCTCCTGCTGCCTGGAGTTCCCCTCTCCTCCACACAGGGGTGGTGTGAGGTTTGTTGTGGGGTTTTCTTTGTGTCCCTCCTCAGGTCTCATTGTCCTGGCTGCCATCACTCCCGAGTCCTCCTTGGACTCTGGCCATGAGACGAACTCCTCAGAGCTCACCGATGTCTCGGAGATGGTCTCTGCTATGAAGCAGCATCAGAACGCAGCCTACTTCCTCACACAACACATCAACAAAGAAAACCTCCTGGCCAGGAAGGACTTGCCTTTCCGAATCCAGAGCTGTGCTGCCCAGGCTGTTCTCACCTCACCCTACCCCCTGAGCCGCCAGGAGCCAAACCCTTCAGTGAAGCCAGCTTCCTCTCCCCAAAGTCCTGGCCGTACCAGCTGCAACAGCAAACAGGAGCAGCAACGTGCTGAGCAGAGCTACACCTCAGCTGTCCAGCCAGGGCTGACCCCCCAGCTCAGTGAGCAGAACAAGGGCGCTCCAGTGCCAAGCACTGAAAGCAAAGGTGCAGGCCACACAAAAGCTGCCTTTGAGGTATCTCTGCATCCCACAGCAGCCCTGAGCAGGGAGCAGTCACAGGATCTACAAGAGAAGGTGCCCAAAGAGGTGCAGCCAAGCTCCAAGCTCCTCCTGGATCAAAAAAGCTGTGTAACTCCAGCCATCATTTCAGCTGCTCTGCAGCAAGTGGCAAATGCAAAAGCCTCAGCTCCCCAAGTGGTATCAGCCTTAAAAGAGGACCAGAATGTGAATGGTACCAGCAGCTGTGCATTAGCCAGCAGCAAGCCTTTGACACTTAAAGGAGGTCCACAAACTGCAGAGACATTATGCAACTGTCAGCAGCAGCAGCAGCAGCAACTCTCTCAGCAGCAGCACTGTGAAGTCTCTCCAAGCCCTAAAGAAGCTCACGGCAGTCAGGCTGAAGCTTTCCACCTCGCTTCAGCAGGTGAGGAAATGATGTCCAGTAAGACTTTTGCCTCTAAAAGCTACCAGCAAAAAGTGAGTAAAGATGTTCCAGGAAAAGCTGCAGGCGTAGAGACAGGGCAGAAGGCAGGTGGGGAAGCTGCGAGCCTCGTCTTGCAGAAACACACAGCTCCTTCAAACCCAGGACAGAAAGTGCAACAGGAAAGTTCAGCCAAAATCTTAAAAGCTGAGAGCGGCAAAGTGCACTCTCCATCACCTGGTGGCATTTTCAGGAGCACCAGTGAGGAAGCCAAAGGGCCAATCCAGCTGATGCCCAGATCTGAGAGCCTGCAGATTAGCACTGTGCCTTCTAAAAAAGTAGAAAAAGTACTGGAGGTGACCCAACAAGATGCTGACGTCCCAGCTAAACCCAAAGCCCCAAAAGCTCCCTTCAGGTTCAGGAAGCTGTTCTCTGCAACGTTTCCGACCCGGCTGAAGAAGGAGACGGACGAGCGGCAGGCCCAGCTGCAGAAGGTGAAGCAGTACGAGCTGGAATTCCTTGAAGAGCTGCTCAAGCCAAAGAGCAAAGGTGACCTCCCACCACAGGAGTATCTGCACCCACCTGCCCCTGGGCGCTGCAGCTGCCAGCTAAGGAGCAGTCCTGTGCAAAAAGTCCCGGGGATGTCCAGGGAGCAGAGGCGCAGCTGTGACTGCAAGAGGATTTGCAGGGGAATGAGGCCACCCCCGAATCAGTTGGTGATACCAGAACTGGAGAGGAGAGGGAGGGACAAAGTTGCAGATGACCAGAAGCAAGTAGAAGCCATTAGGCTGACGAGCATGAGCAGCCCTTCCAAAGGCAAACGGATACGATCCACAAGTTTAGAGTCCAGAGACTACCGATCAGATCCAGAGAACGGCGTGTCCTGTCTGGCAACGTGCACTTCCCCAGGGGAGTGCATGGGAGCACCGCACTACAGAAAGCTCTTGCGTCGCTACAGTGTCAGTGAAATAGATAAGACTGATAGGACATCCTTGTCCTCTGACATCTACCAGAACATCTATACGACCAAGCAGAAAGGCCCCCAGAAAGAGCCTGAGCCCAGCATCATCTGTCCTGTTCTGAAGAGCAAAATCCTGGAAGCCTCTGGAGTGGCTGACCCCTCCTATGTCCAGATAGCACAGGATAAAAAGAACCAGAAGGCTTCAGGAGTGTTCTCTGTCCAGGAGGAGATGTACCCAAGTCCTGCTGAGCTGCGGGATGAAGACACGGAGGACGAGAAGTGCTGCTCCATCCGGTACTGCTTCTACTACAGGAAATGTGATGTTGCAGATGATGGGAGTGAAAAGGATGAGCTGTCGTATTCCATCCCCATGCAGATACTCCCGGGAATGAAGCTGGACAATCAGATGGTCCCAGTCATGAGCAGGACTCTCCAGGTCCTAGATGCAACAGCCTGCAGCAGTCCCAATGACAGTCAGACCCAGGAAATAGATTTAAGGACCTCCAGTTTTGAGGGGAGCTTGGCAAAGATCAACACCCTTCGAGGCCACGCCTACAGCTTTCCCAACGGGTTTCTGCAAGTGCAGCTGGACACCAATGAGCTCCTGACTATCCTGAGGCAGTGTGTGCTGAGCCCTGATGTCCGGGACTGCAAACCCTACATCTCCCAGCTGGCTGAGTACAAGCAAGAGCTCGCCCTCAAGTTCAAGGAGTTTCGGGCGTCCTGCCGCCGCGTCGCAGCCGTGGACAAGAGCCCTTCCCACATGCTCTCTGCCATCACGAGCAGCTTCCAGGTGCTAAGCAGCCTCATCGAGACCTTTGTGAGGCTGGTGTACGTCGTGCGCTCGGAGTCCCAGCGCCAAGAGCTGCTGACGAAGGTGGAGGAAGTGGTGAGAAACTACACCTTCCTCCTGAAGGCTGCGGAGGAGTCCACGGCCAGGATGCTGAGCCACCAGCAGACCGTGGAGCAGCTCGCCCGCCAGTCAGCCACGGTTGCCACTGTCATGAGCACGCTGACACGCTCCCTAAAGACGCTGATCAATAAGTAAGCCAGCTGTGAAGACCAACAAGCCAGTGTGTGCCAGGCCACGTGCTGACGGTTCTCCAGTCTCACAGGTCTGGTGAGGATGCGTGTCTGCAGCCCCACATCCACCGGAGTTTGCAGTAGCCAAGACACTCTGATCTCTGCAGGATGGATGGTGGTGGTGGTGGTGGTTTTGAAGGGTGAATTCATGCCCTGTCACAAGCTGTGCAAACCAGCTCGTCGGGGGGCTCAAGCAGCTTCTTTGCTTGTTCTCCCGAGCTGGCCTTGTTGGTGATGGTACTTGGGAGGCACAGCTGCCCCATCTCCACACTAATTTGGTTCCATGGGGTTCTGGGCCTCACTGGTGCAAGGACCTTTGTCACAGTTTGTGGTGGGCCAGTGAGTTATCAGATGCTGAGCTGAAATCTTCTGGCTTCACTTGGGCAGTGTGGAGCCAAACCAGTGTCTTGCCACGTAAACAGCTCTTCTGCCTCCAGGATCTTCCTGGCCCACAAATACGACGTCATTAGCAGCAGAAGGGATCTACAGGGATACAGCAGGGGTGAAAGTCCCTGCTGCTATGCTAGGGCTTGGGAAGTAGTCCTAGCACAGGCAGGATGCCATGATCCTGGGACAGAGCTAGGTCACCCTACTGGGCTCTACTGTCACAGCTTAGGCACCAGTGTTCTAGTCCTGAGCACAGGTACTGCCTGTGCAAAAGGCATGGGCTTAATGCCTGCAAGTAGGGAGGATCCAGGGAACTACAGGCCTGTCAGTCTGACCTCAGTGCTGAGAAGGTCATGCAGCAGATAGTCCTGAGTGCCATCACATGGCATGTACAGGACAACAAGGGGATCAGGCCCAGCCAGCGTGGGCTTGTGAAAGGCAAGTGCTGCTTGACCAGCGTGGTCTCCTTTTATGACAGGGAAGCTCAGTTAGTGGGTGAAGGAGAGGTTGTGGGTGTTGTGTACCTAGACTTTAGTAAAGCCTTTGACACTGTGTCCCACAGGATTCTCCTGGAGAAACTGGCTGGATGGCCAGGCCCAGGGAGTGGTGGGGAATGGAGTTAAATCCAGCTGGAACCAGTCACTAGTGCTGTCCCAGGGTTCAGTGTTGGGGCCAGTCCTGTTTAAGACCTTTATCGATGATCTGGACGAGGGGATTGAGGGCACCCTCAGTCAGTTTGCAGATGACACCAGGTTGGGCAGGAGTGTTGATCTGCTGGAGGGCAGGAAGGCTCTGCAGAGGGGTCTGGACAGGCTGGATCCATGGGCTGAGGCCAGCTGGATGAGGTTCAACCAGGCCAAGAGTCAGGTCCTGCCCTTGGGTCACAACAACCCCCTGCAGCTCCAGGCTGGGGCAGAGTGGCTGGAAAGTGCCCGTGGGGAAAGGAGCTGGGGGAGCTGGTCCACAGCACCTGAACATGAGCCAGTGTGTGCCCAGGGGGGCAAGGAGGCCAAGGGCACCTGGCCTGTGCCAGCAACAGTGTGGCAGCAGGACCAGGGCAGTGACTGTCCCCTGTGCTGGGCACTGGGGAGGCCCCTCGAATCCTGGGTTCAGTTTTGGGCCCCTCACAGCAAGAAGGACATTGAGGGGCTGGAGCGTGTCCAGAGAAGGAAACGGAGCTGGGGAAGGGACTGGAGCACAAGTGTGATGAGGAGCAGCTGAGGGAGCTGGGGGTGTTTAGCCTGGAGAAAAGGAGGCTCAAGGGGGACCTTCTCACTCTCTACAACTCCCTGGTTGTAGTCAGGTGGGGGTCAGGCTCTGTTCCCAGGCAACAAGTGACAGGACAAGAGGAAACGGCCTCAAGTTGTGCCAGGGGAGGTTTAGATTGGATATTAGGAAAAATTTCTTCACTGAAAGGGTGGTCAGGGTTTGGGACAGGCTGCCCAGGGAAGTAGTGGAATCACCATCTGTGGAGGTATTTAAAAGATGGGTAGTTGTGGCCCTTGGGTACGTGGTTTAGTGGTGGGCTTGGCAGTGCTGGGGGAACGGTTGGACTCAATTGATCTTAGAGATCTTTTCCAACCTAAACAATTCTGTGTTCCCCTTCCTCTTCTGGATGGCTGTATCCATGAGACCCTGCAAGGAACCCAGACTGATCTTTGACCATCGCAAGCCAGAAGCTGGGCTAGCAGCTGAGAGGAAACCTCTTTCACACCATTCTCTAGAGGTCAGGTTCTTGCCTCCAAGGCTCTGCCCAAACTCTCTCCTATTTCCTTTCACGGTCCTTTCACCGTGACCATTAGAGAGGAACCCTAGATCAGCTTTGTCTGGGAGCCAGACAGGGGCTGTCCTCCTTGCCAGGGTTTTGGGGTTCTTTTGCTGTCTTCACCAGGCTGACTGCCATAAGAAGCATTATTCAGTACTGTGTGATGGTTATTTGTTTGAAGTTGGGTTTTTTCAATTGGGTTTGGTTTTGTTTGGTTTTTTTTCACTTGCAGGCGAATAGTAAAATGATTCCTAATTGCGTTCCTTCCCCCCAAGGTTCCCCTCCTCCTCCTCCCAGTCTAGCTACGAGATATAATCAATCAGACAGCCTTAATTGGTGTTTCGCTGCAGTCACCTCCAAAACAGAGCAAGGAGAAAAATGCAAGGTTACACATGGCATTGCCCTTACCCTGCCACCCACTGCACTTCCCACGTGCACGGGGAGCGCGGGTCCCGCGTCTCCCCATCCCACCCCCTCTGGCTGGAAAGGGAGGTCACGGCATTGGTCAAACCCAGCCCGCTTGCCCCAGTGCTTGGGGAACGATCAGGGATCTCCGTAGGATCAGTCACTTCCCACCTCTGTCGTTTTTTACAAATATGCACATTCGGAACGTCTCGTTCTTCCGCAGGAGCTGTGGGAATGCACAGTGTGCTTTTAACACGCGCCCTCGGCCCAGTGCAATAACCTCCCCTGGCCCGTGGCTGTCCTGGCCTTGGGCTGTCAGCAAGGCAGAGAGGATCCTGCTGTGGGACAGCCTCCTGATTTCAAGAACCATGTAGCAAATATCCAGTGGAAGAGCCAATTGGGACGTCAGCCCGTGGTGTGCCAGGCCTGTTACAGTGCTGAAGGCTGACAGGGAGACGTGTTTTCCTTTTCCCTGGGAATAACCTGTTATGAAACTCTGAGTTTCTTCAAGCTCCCCGTTATGCCTATATCATTCCTCCATAAATCTCTCAGTCTAATACAGAGGAAAATTTTTTTATTGTCTGTATATATTATATATAAATTAAAAAAATATATAAATTATATCTATACACAAAATTTATGTCTTGTTTTACAAACAAGAAAGATTAAATATATTAATCTTAATATCCAAACTAGCATTTGTGTCTTTTTTTAAGAATTTTGTGGAAATGTGGCTATTCTCAGCTGTACAAAACACTGTTTGTAAGCAAATCCACCTGTTTTTGTTGCTATGGAAATGCACGTATCTCCATACTGGAAGGGCACAGCTTAAAGATTCCAGCATTGCTGGGCTCCACAGCAGTTAAGTTACCATGCCATCAAGGATGCAGGTTGAAACGAACTGTTTGCCTTGCCAAGGTCACTTTTGTGTTATTAATTTTGGTTTAATTTCCCTCCAGAAGAGGAAGGCAGCAGCAATCACCCCTTCAGCGCTGGCACTGGGCACTGTGGCTTTGCTGGGGAAAGTGTGGGACACCCTCCTGCCCCTTAAGTAGGGGAGAAAAGGATGCTTTAACAAACTCCTGATCCCTTCCAGGTGAGCCAAGCTGAGCACCCACTGACCAGCTCCAACCCATGTTTTCAGCCAAGTCCCAGCCTTTCCCTGGCTCTTCTGCCTGGGAAGAGGTGGCAGTGTGTGACCTGTCAGTGGCCTGGTGGCTCTGCTGCCCCGTGGGACTGCTCTGGTGTGTCTGCAGGGGAAAGCCCAGCAAAAGCAGAACGTCAGAGCTGGGAAGAAATCTGAGCTGGGCAAACAATTTCCCAGCCACAGATGATTTCCAGCGTACACATTTCACCTGGCACAATGAACCCCACTCTGTTTATCAGGGAGGAAAGCATTGATGTGTGTGCTCTATGCACCCCAAAGCCCCCAGGAACTATAAAATCCAAGTGCAATAAGGATCCAACACAAAAAAAAAAATTCCTTAGAGGAACTGGGTCATTCTCTGTACGGGGGTTGAATGTGTTGTCTAAAGCAAAGGCGGCAGCACTTGAGACTCACACACGCTCTCGGTGCCTCCAGGCCCGTTATTTTAATCTGCATCACACCATTTCCCATGCTGAACTGACGATGACACCGAAAGGGACAGAACCCACCTATTTATAAAGCTGGATATGGATCGAAACCAAGAGGTTTTCTAACAACCCCCCAGAGCCTGAAAATATTATTGGCAGCAGGCAGTGTAACCGGCGATCTCGGAGTCGGTGCTTAGTACCATCTAGTGGGCAATAAGCACCCTGTCAGAAAGGAATGGCTTCTTCACAGCACCCTCTTGTTGTTTGTACCGAGATATTGTTTGTGGCAGTAGGTGCTCCAGGATCAGCCAAACGTCCCTTTGTGAATGGAGGAGCTGGACTGGTACATACCCAGGAAGGATGATGTTGCTGTACTCGTTTTTTAAGGTGTAGTCCCTGCAGCCTCAGCATTTGTAAGTGCCCTTAAACGAAATGGTCCAGGTAAAACACAGAGAATTAAAAGTAATTTTTTTTTCCCAAATCTACCTCCCATTTAGTTTATCTACCTGCAGACTGGCTAGTTCTCATCCAGCTCTTCACTTTGAAGCCACTGTGGCCCAGGAAGTCAAAGCAAGGAACATGACAGTGTTGTTTGCAGGGGTGTGTGCAGAAAGATAAATGAATTTTTCTGCATCCCCTCCCACCAGAACAATCTTCCTGAGCATGACAGGTTGTGTTTGCTGCCCTTTAGCACCTTCTCAGAGCAACACCAGCAGTACCTGCCCTTCTCATACTGCCTTGGCCCCGAGTTTTCTGCTGTAGCCTTACAGATGATGCAGATTTCCTTCAGAACCTTCACAGCTCCCAGGAGCACTGCTCAGCCACAGGATGTATTCCTGGCCATCTGATGTCACTGCACCCCCATAGCCTGTTCCCTCCCTTAACCTCCTCTAAATTGTCTACTCTCAAGGAGTCCTCGCCAAGGCTCTACCAGTGACAATGAGCAGAAAAGGAACAAAGACTCGGCCACTGCAGGTCCCCCTAAAACACAGGAGAAAAGCAGAAGACCTTCTGGTGTGCTAGTTTTGGCTGGGGTAGAGTTAATTTTTTTCACAGTAGCTGGTATGGGTCTGTGTTTGGATTTGTGTTAACACAGGGATGTTTTAGTTATCACTGAGCAGGGCTTACACAGAGCCAGAGCCTTCTCTGCTCCTCACCCCACCCCACCAGCGAGGAGGTTGGGGGGCACAAGGAGCTGGGGGGGACACAGCCAGGACAGCTGATCCCAACTGACCCAAGAACACACAGTGTCATGTTCAGCATACAAAGCTGGGGGAGAAGGAGGAAGAGGGGGATGTTTGGAGTGATGGCATTTTGTCTTCCCAAGGCTCCACCATATGTAATGATGACTTATTTGCCAGCTGAGGTTAAACCACGACACCTGGCTGTCAGGGGTTAAAGTGTCAAAAGCAGAAGCTGGAAAATCAGCAGGCCTCAAGCAGGAGTCCCAAGATAGGTTTTGTGTCTCGGTGGACTTTGCTGGTCATTGTCAGCTGGAGACAACAACTGGGCACCATGGTTTAAAGCACTTTGAACTCTAATCCCCATGGCGTAGCAGACACATTCTCCTGTCAGGATTTCCATCCTCTCCAAGGTCTTGGCAACACTACACAGGACTTGCAGGAGCCCCAGATACAACAGCAGAGCAAGCTGAATAGCTGGGACCCACTGCTGCTTTCATCATGACCAAGGGAGCCGACAGGCAAATAGAAGTGAGTAATGTCTAAATTTTATCCTCATTTAAAGCACAGTGTCTGGATTTCTGTGTAAAATATCCTAACAAATTCCTCACATAGGCAGTCACAGTGGAGCTGGCCAGGACAACCATGGCTTTAATTGGACATGGGAGAAGTCTGCCAGGGAAGACAAGTATCTCAGCCTGTTTACATCACCCAACCATATCTGGTATACATGAAAACAGTCCATACACTTGTTATGAAACTTTTCTGAAGGTTTTTTTGTCAGGCAGGGCATGAGCAGATGCCTCGTCTCACTGCAGCTGCTGCACAACCTCCCAGCCCAGCTGAGATGGTGCCCCTTGCTGTCACTTGTCCCCCACATACAGAGTGAACAGGGAGGGGGAGGAGGTTCTGCAGCTGGACTATTAAAGTTATTTAAAAGCTGTGTTTTTGTGGCAGTAATTCCAGTTTTGCCTTTCTGAGGTTTGTTGCCCATGCCAAGGGTTGGGGAAACAGATGAGAGGGCTGGGGACATGCACCAGGTCTACACACACTGTCCGGGACATTTTACAACTCTCTACTAAATCCCACTTTTGAAAGGCACCTTGGAAATACTCCTGAATCTAATGAATATTCACCTCTTCCTAGAGCAACAGCGGTCCATCCTCAGTTTTACCTGGGCTCCTCAGAAAGGTGCAGTAAAAGTGCTGAGTAGAAAGATCAGGAACCAGGATTAGGACCAGGGACCAGTCAGGATCCTTTTTAAAGAGCCTTTCATCCCTAAGTCTGTGTTGTTTCCAGTGGACACTTGACAAAACCATTTATTTACCAGAGTTTTCACCTTTTCCTGACAAATGGTGTGCTGAGCCTCTATGTTTCCACCCCTTCCACCCTTTTTGGCCTTAACTTTTTCTCAGCCTCTCCTTTCCTATTCATCCTCCCACCCTTTCTCTGCCTCTACTTTTCTTTCCACTTTCCCTCACTTTTTGACCTTCGCTTTTTTCCAGCTTCTGCTGGAGGCAAAGAGCCGAGCCTCTTGTTATTGCCCTCAAGTGCCATTCATTAACGGAACCGGCTGTGAGGCAGGGGAGTCACAAGGCAACAGAGAGAAATAAAAACTCTCACCCACAGGCTTTTTTGCATGAAAATGTGTCCTTGATTAGTGGCTGGTGGTAATTGAGTGGCTATTGTGTGCAGGAAAGTGCCAAGAGAGGGACAAGGGCTACTTGTCTTGATTGACATCACCATGAAATTTGATGCTGTATAATGTGCTGCTTAAAACTTCCTGGAAAATACATTCTCAGGTGGTGACATGCAAAGGTGTTTCTGATGAAGAGCATCTCCACAGAATCAGGTAAATAATTTTCTTTTTCCCCCCATTTTTGTGCTTTTCAGGTTCTCCTTAGTTGGATGGTAATTTAATTCACAATTTACAAAACTGGAGGGAACACAGCACCTCAGGCTATGAGCTTGTCCTTTCTGCTACCAAAACCAACTCTGCTTGCCTGTACTGTAAACCACGGGAAAATTAAATAAAATCGTTTAGATTGGAAGTAAATAATTCGATTCATTATATTTTGCTTTCAGAATGAAGCAAGCCCACTGGAATGAGATGCTTTAATTCTGAATAAGAGTATCCACAACAAGAGCTGAGGCACTCCAATGCACTTTCTCATCCAGACTTTAGGCTGTGATCATTTTCCTGAGCATCCTTTGGCAGAAAACCTGACTCACAAGCCAGACTGAGTTTGGTTTTCAATGGATTCAACCACACAGTCTCTACTTTAATCCCATTAAGGCCAAGAACCAGATAAACATCTCACTCTTCAAAGCTGGTTCTCCTTGTCCCTTCTTCACTTAATGTCAAAGCAAACTGCTCAAAGACAAGCTGTGGCTGAGGAACCTCCTTGACAAGTTTTTTTGGCTTTGTTTAACTAGGACTTTGATGCATTAAGAGCTTCTCCTTAATCAAATCCCTGAAGTTATCCTGTTCCAAGAGCTTTGTGAGCAACAGTGATGAATTGTTAGGGGAGGTGGACTTTTGTCCTCATGGACAAAGTGCTGTCTGACCTACAAAGGCATCGTGGAGGCTGAAACACTGAGGGGAGCAGGTGTGTGTGAAAACACACCTGGCCTCCAGCTCAGAACAGGCAAAAAAACCCAATTAATCTTTGATTTTACAGGTAACAGGTTGCCAGTTTCTGGTTTCAAGGATTAAGGATCTAATTTCTTTTTTTTTTTTTTTTTGGTCAGATTTTTCACTCCTGCAAATCCCATCTCTGTGGTGCCAGGAGGAACCTGATAGACATGCTGCTTCCAAAGTCCTGTGCAGGGAAAATCAGGCAGAGCTCATCAAGGAGAGGCATCATTTGCATGT